TATACTGCATCCGCTGTACCCGGTGTGGCTTCCTCTACATCGGGGAAACCAAGCGGAGACTCGGGGACCGCTTTGCAGAACACCTACGCTCGGTTCGCAATAAACAACTGCACCTCCCAGTCGCGAACCATTTCAACTCCCCCTCCCATTCCTCAGACGACATGTCCATCCTGGGCCTCCTGCAGTGCCACAACGATGCCACCCGAAGGTTGCAGGAACAGCAACTCATATTCCGCTTGGGAACCCTGCAGCCCAATGGTATCAATGTGGATTTCACAAGTTTCAAAATCTCCCCTCCCTCTACCGCATCCCAAAACCAGTCCAGCTCGTCCCTGCCTCCCTAACCTGTTCTTCCTCCCACCTATCCCCTCCTCCCACCTCAAGCCGCACCTCCATCTCCTACCGACTAACCTCATCCCACCCCCTTGACCTGTCCGTCCTCCCTGGACTGACCAATCTCCTCCCTAACTCCCCACCTACACTCACCTTTACTGGCCCCATCCCCGCCTCTTCGACCTGTTTGTTTCCTCTCCACCTATCCTCTCCTCTATCCATCTTCTTTCCGCCTCCCACTCTCTCCCTATTTATTTCAGAACCCCCTTCCCCTCCCCCTTTTCTGATGAAGGGTCTAGGCCCGAAACGTCAGCCTCTCTGCTCCTCGGATGCTGCTTGGCCTGCTGTGTTCATCCAGCCCTGCACCTTGTTGTCTAGATCTGAATGCAGTTGTCACCCTTAATCATCATTCGTCATTGATTAATTACAATGTAACAAAAAATATAGTGCACTCACTGATGCCAACGGGAGATTGAAGAATAGGTGATGCAGTTTGGATTTTAGCAGCCATGGTATCGGCTGACATCCAATTCTTATTAGGATAGTTTTGCACCTTTTATTCATTTCTGATACCTCCATAGCCATTCCCTTCCTGATCTCTGAATTTCCTCCAGTCTCAACCTCAGAACTGCTTTCCTCCATCTCTATACTGTCATGAACCCCCCAGTTCCTTTTCCCAATCACAACTGGCCATACTTAGATGGGCTATACTGTACTTAATTGAGGGGCTGAATAGCCTATTATGCCATGCTGTTATGTCACTTATGCCTTGTTATGTCATGTGTAATCCTCTATCTAAATCTCTCCACCCTCATATTCCTTTTTTAAGACACTGTTTACAATATAACTCTCTTTTTGGACCAAACTTCTGGTCACCTATTCCAATATCTCCTTCTTCAGCTGGTATTAGCTTTTGTCGAATTAGGTTCCTCTAAGTGTCTTGGAAATTTACTGGAGCATTAAGGCCACTGTTATAAAAGCAAGAAGCTGTAATTTTAAGTGTACCAAAAGAATGGGTGGGACTGCTGCAATGTCAATACATTCAAATAAGATTTAAGAAGTGATCTAAGTTATCCTTCTAAGCACTATGTAAACTGACGTGACACCTTCCTGGAGATTAGCATCCCTGCAGTGATAAGTATCTAGCCAGCCAATGCAAGGTTTAAATCTACATCCCAGCTTTAATGAATGAAAACAAGAAAGTGCTGGAGATCACAGCGGGTCAGGCAGCATCCATGGAGAGAAATCTAGTGCATAGAAACTGACAGTCAACCTTTCAGATTTTGACCTTTTAAGAAAAATATCTGGCAAAGAGCTACACATTCTGGCATTTTGTAGAACTGAACACGAGGGAGGCGGAGGTAAAACTATTTAAATTTGGGAGCATTGCTGTTTACATGAGAACTGCATGTGTTTTAATACTGATACTTTCAATGGAATGAATATTAGTGTTTTGGTGTTTTCACTCCATGCTAAATTCTAGTCCAATTTCACAATAAATGGTACTCCACCGAGTACAACTGGCGCAGCCATCCAGAGATCCACATGCCGTAACTTATTTTGATAAGGTGAAGAACCCCATGCAGTTTGAGTTGCACGTTGACCACTGCTACCTTCAGGAAGGGCATAGTCATATCTTTACACTCTTAAAAAACTAAGCATCAAGTCAATTTCTGAAAGAATTAATAGGAAGATTTTTTGCATTTCTGTAAATATACTGTAACTGAATGGAGAAAGGATTGCTTCTTTGGAGCAACCTGGGACATTTGATTCTATTAAAGATACTACATAAATAAAAAACATTTGTTACAAGCAACAGCTATTCAAGATTGCAATATTCATTCTTTGAAACATTAAATTTGAAATTAATTTCTACAGTCCTTTTGAAGTGTTGTTATTGTTGTAATGCAGGAAGCACAGCAGCCCTTTCGTGCTCAGCAAGATTCCACAAACAGCAATGAGACAACTGATAGATAATCTGTCCCATTTGTTTTAAAAAGTAATTGTGATTAAGGATAAATATCGGATATTCTCAGAGTAGATTCTCGTACCTTTCTTTGAAATACTGCCTTTTTAAAAAAAAAATGTCTTGTTACTCAAAAAGGCTGTTGGTGTTTTCAGTTCTATATTTCAGTTTAATATTTCATCCAAAACATGATCCCTCTGACAGAAGAACTGCAATGGGATTATCAGGCTAGAATAATGTGCCCAAGACACTGGAGATGTAAGCCAATAACCTGCAGACTCAGAGGCCAGGGTTCTACCATTAAGTCAAGGCAGAAAGTTACTATGTAATTCACGCAGGCAGAATCATTTAATTAAAAAAGAGTCAAGATATCAAACCGATAACTTTGCTGATAGATCTATGTCTCTGGCATGTACTTACTAAATGCTGTGTCATGTCAACAGCAATAGTGGTCATCTCCTCACTGTATTCACATATCATCTTCTGAATGACATTGGTGAGATCATCATTTTCAGTTTCCCGGACAATGTGGAGCAGTTCCTGCATTACTGGCCTAACCGATGGTTTTATATATTCCTTAGCTGGGGAGCAAATGTCAATATATTAGCTGCAATACCTTCTCTTTATTTCTCAACTTCCTTTCACTTGCCACAAATCTATGGTGCACTTCAATTAGGCTGACTGAGTTTTTGCAATTCTCTATATCCTCAACGGACACTGCATTATGGGACAGAAAATGACAATTTGGAGAGGAAGTTTCCCTGTCTCCAGTTAATCATGTATTTTGTTTTGCTCTACAGTAATGCAACCTCAGCTGAAAACACTACTGACTTGTGGTTTGGGTTTGTGGTCAAGAACAGTGAGATTCCAAATCTTACTCATATGAACAGTAGCTAGTTTATGATCGACTATCAAACTCGACCATCAAACAGGCATGTTTCCAAATAAGAGCTTGCAATGCAGCAAGCGTTCTGAGGTCGAAATTAGATTCGTACTATTCATACTAGCTCCTTTCAAATAAGAGGTATAATACCAATGAATTGAAATATCCTTGTTCAAGAGAACCTGTAATATCGACACATCTATTCAGTTTTCCATCCAGCCAACTGTTTTCCTAGCCTGTACACTAAAAGGTGAAAACTGTTCCAACTCCTCCCACAATAAATGGGTCTAAGTGTACTGATTGTACTTTTCTATGATTCAACTCTCAATTATCTTATGGAAGCACCAGTATGAAACCTAGAGTCAATCCAGTCAGATCATAGTTCTTTAGACCATTCAATTCTAATTTGACAAACGCAACAGCAGAGGAAACATCACATCTTAGTGCAGCTAGCAATAAGAGAAGACAAAAAAAAATCACAGGCCTTTATGTAACTATTAACTGTCTGCTGATTCTAATAGAGTCATAACAATGACCACCTCCCACTGTGCAAGTATTCTGCAAATTGATTAATAGACACTGTGGGTCATCTTAAACTTCGACAACAGTCATCAACAACTATTTCCATCAAAACATTTCTATACTGGTTCGGTAATATTGCTAAACTATCATAACATAAGATACAAACAATTTTTACACAGTTAACCGGAAATAAGCTAAATTAAGAAAAGTTCTAGGATCAATTTTTATTGAACAATTAAAAACATAAAACAGAAGGATAACTATTTGCTTGAATCCAAATATTTGGTAAAGAATTGGACATACTTATCATCTGTGCCAAACAGGTAATGGTACAAACCCACGCAAATTGTAATAATGATAGGTAATGTTTCAGTGCAAGACCTCTCTTTGACTCACCTTGATCTTGGTTACTAATAAGCGTCTGCAAAGCAATGGCAGCTTCTACTTTGACTGGCATTTCTTTATCTTCAATTAAACTCTTCTTTGTCAACTCAACAGCATTTCTCAAGTTAAGATCATTTGTGAACTTTAGATTGCAAAATGAATGAAGAACCCAACAGGCCTGGAAACAAAGTCAGATGTAAGTAATATATTCAGTTCTATTTGAAACCAGTGACCTTATATTATAAAAGAACATGGTTGCAACAATTTAATTTTGTTAATTTCTGGGCAATTGCACATATGCCAGTCCATGTGGCTGAACAAAGATCTGACTGTGGAGATTGGAATATTTCAGTAGTATACAATGGTAGCTGCACTGTTTCAAAACAGACTTGGGAATAATATGGTTCCTTCAATTGTCTCACACATAGTTTGTCAAAGTCAAGGATCAGGAAGATGAAATGCTGTTTTACAGTTAAGCTTTTCACAGCTATTTGGCTGGCGATGCGTCTTCAACTCATCAGCAATGAATTGCTGCATTTAAGTGAGTGATAAACATTTTCATATATTCTTTCAGTTTCCAGAATTTAAAAAACACTGAGATACATATTGCAACAAAGTGGAGATCGAGGAATTTGACAGGAAAGGTTGAACTTTAATGCAAATTCAAGCATTCAAACTGGCATTTCAGATCATGCTAATTCAAACCAAATGTTACAACGTTGAAATCTAAAATGCAGATCATATCAACAATTTGCAATTATATGGAGGGATTTTTTCTGGTGTTGGAGTGTCAGCATAGAAGATGCGCATGGTTCCTATCAAACAGGAATCAGACGATCTTGCCTGGTATTGCCAGTTTTCAAAATGGCAACATTTATTATTGGAGCATTTCCTTCTACAAAGATAGCCCTGAAGTATGACAGACCGAACTGTTTGCTGCTAACTAACAATTTTTACTACTGTATCTTTAACTACAAAAGGCAAAAAAACTATGTGGGTTATTCCAACAATGTAAATTCCATACAAAAAGAAACAAATATATCCATGGATATGGAGATGTAAGAAGATTAATTTAAAACAGCTAATTTTAAATTTAGTTTTAAGGTTATCAGATAGGCCTCAGATTGGAATACAAAAATTAATTCCTGCAAAATATTAAAGAACTGTGCAGTGATTGAATCTTTTTGCATTTCTGCAGTTTAATTGTGAACAAGACTTGGGAAAAGGATTGTTTTAAAAAATCAACTGCTGTTTGTTCAAGCAGTGAGGAAAAGTCTAGTTTCAGATGAGCTGCAGCCAAGGGGCATGTACAAACGAAGATTAGGCGACATCCTACCTGCCAAGAACTATATGATGTGTCTTGAACACAATCCAATAAATTCATGCTCAATAATACTGAGTGCATCTTTTATTCCAGAGGTATGAAGTAACATAATTTAAATTTCCCATGCTAACATGATGGGACATGAATGTGCATCTCCAGCGTATTAACCATACCACTGGATTTCTAGTCTAGTTATAGAATCATAAAGTCATACTGCATGGAATCAACTTCGGTCCAACTCGTCATGCCGACCAAGTTTCCCAAACTAACCTAGTCCCATTTGCCCACGTTTGGCTCATATCCCTCTTTCCTATCCATCTAACTGTCCAAATATCTTTTAAATGTTGTAACTGTACCCGCATCTATCACTTCCTCTGGCATGTTATTCCACATACGAACCACCTTCTGTGAAAAAGTTGCTGCTCAAGTCCCTTTTACATCTTTCCCCTCACCTTAAAAACATGCCCTCTAGTTTTGAACTCCACTATGCTAGGGAAAAGACCTTTGCTATTCACCTTATCCATTCCCCTCATGATTTTATAAGCCTCTATAGATCACTACTATACTATAATTCCTGGCACACCACTGGTCACATGAATTTATTCATCCAGTGAGGAAGAATAGATGTTCTCTTAATTACGATACCACGATTTGGGAAGATTTCTGTTCAGTACTTCTGGGCAAACAAATAAACAGTTTAATTACAATCTTGTTACAGTAAGTAACCTGCAGTTATGTTTTCTTAACAGGACCGAACATCATTTTCGAATATAAGAGTTAGAAGCAGGAGTCGGCCACTTGGTGCCTTAAGCCTACACTGCTATTCAATATGATCTTGGCTAACTGGATTACTCTACATTTCCCCCAGCTTTCAGAAACCTTTCATTCCCTTGCTGAACAAGAAATTACCTACCTCTGCCATAAAAATATTCCAAGATCTAGTTCTACTATCTTTTGAGGAAGAGAGTTCCAAAGATTTATGACCCACTGTAAGAAAAGCATTTCTCCTTACTTCAGTCTTAAAAGGGTAATGCCTTACTTCGAAAAGATGACCTTTAGTTCTAGATTCCCCACAACAGAAAATATCCTTCCCATATCTACCCTGTCAAGATGACTCAAGGAGCGTCTTACTATTCAAAATAATTTTTTTTGTTCACTCATAGGATGTACGTGTCTCTGGCTAGGCCAGCATTTATTGCCCATTCCTAATTGCCCAAAGGGCAGTTAAGAATCAACCAGAGATAGTAGGAACTGCAGATGCTGGAGAATCCGAGACAACAAGGTGCAGAGCTGGATGAACACAGCAGGCCAAGCAGCATCACAGGAGCAGAAAGGCTGACGTTTCCGGCCTAGACCCTTCATCAGAAATGGGGGAGGGGAAGGGGGTTCTGAAATAAATAGGAAGAGAGGGGGAGGCGGATAGAAGATGGATAGAGGAGAAGATAGGTGGAGAGGAAACAGACAGGTCGAAGACGCGGGGATGGAGCCAGTTAAGGTGAGTGTAGGTGGGGAGTTAGGGAGGGGATAGGTCAGTCCAGGGAGGACAGACAGGTCAAGGGGGTGGGATGAGGTTAGTAGGTAGGAGATGGGGGTGCGGCTTGAGGTGGGAGGAGGGGATAGGTGGGAAGAAGAACAGGTTAGGGAGGCGGGGACGAGCTGGGCTGGTTTTGGGATGCGGTAGGGGGAGGGGAGAATTTGAAGCTTGTGAAATTCACATTGATACCATTGGGCTGCAGGGTTCCCAAGCGGAATATGAGTTGCTGTTCCTGCAACCTTCGGATGGCATCGTTGTGGCACTGCAGGAGGCCCAGGATGGACATGTCGTCTGAGGAATGGGAGGGGGAGTTGAAATGGTTCGCGACTGGGAGGTGCAGTTGTTTACTGCGAACCGAGCGTAGGTGTTCTGCAAAGCAGTCCCCGAGCCTCCGCTTGGTTTCCCCGATGTAGAGGAGGCCACACCGGGTACAGCGGATGCAGTATACCACATTGGCAGATGTGCAAGTGAACATCTGCTTGATGTGGAAAGTCTTCTTGGGGCCTGGGATGGGGGTGAGGGAGGAGGTATGTTCCTCTCACTTCCTACAGTAACTTCTCTTTCAATTCCTCCCACTTCCTACAGACAAAGGGGGTGGCCATGGGTACCCACATGGGCCCAAGCTATGCCTGTCTCTTTGTAGGTTACGTGGAACAATCCCTCTTCCATACCTACACTGGCCCTAAACCCCATCTCTTCCTCCATTACATTGATGACTGTATCAGCACCGCCTCGTGCTCCCACGAGGAGCTCGAACAGTTCATCCACTTCACCAACACCTTCCACCCCAACCTTAAGTTCACCTGGACCATCTCTAATACCTCTCTCTCCTTCCTGGACCTCTCTGTCTCCATCTCGGGCAGCCACCTAGAAACCGATATCCATTTCAAGCCCACCGACTCCCACAGCTACCTAGAATACATCTCCCACCAACCTTCCTGCAAAAATGCCATCCCCTATTCCCAATTCCTTTGCCTCCGCCGCATCTGCTCCCAGGATGAGGCATTCCACTCCCATACATCTCAGATGTCCTCGTTTTTCAAGGACCGCAACTTCCCCCTCT